TTTGAAGAAAAACAATATTTTTTACTTTCAGCTATAAAAAATATATAGTAAACTCAAAGTTGGTTATAAATTTAGGCCAAAATGTATTCTGCTACGTGTTTTTGGTAAAAAAAATTCCAATAAGTGTATATTGATTGCTTTGTGTGGAAGTTATAGCGTCTACAAACTATGGTATAAATACTGCAATTTACGCCATTTTTCTGCTATACAGCGCTGCGCTATTTTAACGGACAATTGCGCGGTCATGCAATATGGTACATAAATAAAATTTACATCCTTTTTTTCCCCACAAATTGAGCTTTCTTTTGGTGGTATTTGATGGCCTGTGCGGTTTTTATTTTTTGCGCTATAAAAAAAAGGCTGACAATTTTGAGAAAAAAAAACAATATTTTGGACTTTTTGCTATTAAGCATGTCCAGTAAAAAAAAAATGCAAAAATCAAATTTAGTCATAAATTTCTGCCAAAATACATTCTGCGACATGTCTTTTCTAAAAAAAAAAACCCAATACGTGTAAATTAATTGGTTTACGTGAAAGTTATAGCATTTACAAATGGCGGGAAAGATACTGGGGTTTTTAGGGTTTTTTTTTATACTAATAATGGCGGCGATCAGCGAATTATGGCGGCGATCAGGGACTTATGGCAGCGACCAGCGACTTATGGCGGGACTGCGGCGGACATTCTGACATTGGGGGGTACTTATTTGGGGTCACTGACATCCCCAAAAACACTAATACAGTGATCAGTGCAAAAAAAAAAAACACTGACACTGTACTAAATGGCAATGGGGAGGAAGGGGTTAACTTTATTTTTCAGGGAAAGGGTTATAGGAGTGAGGGGAGTGTTTTACTAGGGGGCGGGGGGTGTGCTGGACGGGACAAGGCTGATCGAGAAAGAGAAACTGTTCTTTCTCGATCAGCTCATCCTCGAGCTGACAGGGAAGTGACAGACAGCACAGCTACTGCAGCTGTGCTGTCTGTCACTGTTTGCCGCCGATCGCCGGGAGATAGCCGGTAAGGACCGGCTGTGACCCGGCGACTCACATCTGCGGCGGTGATCAGCGGGACAGATAGGGCGGCGGCGCGCCTCGCGCGCGCCCCCCTAGCTGTTTACAAAACACACGTTTTAAAAAACGTGGTTTTGCCTGCCAGTGCTGCCCTGCCGCCGTATATCTACAGTGGCAGGGCGGCAAGTGGTTAAGAAGGGGCAAAAGGGGCAGCTTTCCTAGGCCCAGTCATTGTTGCGGGGCCCAAAGCAGCTGTCCCATACTTGCCAACTGTTCTGATTTACATTCCCTTGTTCCCAGACCTCTTTGTCTCTTTGTGTGAAGTGCTGTCACTTATGCTGGCCAGCTCTGTCCTATTGCCATGTACAGATGACTCATCTGTGCAGACTGTGTCAGCATTCACATGTAAATAACAGCGGCATTCATATGTAAAAAGCTGCTGCAATGTGGCATTCATATGTACATTATGCTCCCCCCCTCCAGGGTCCAGCCACCAACACCTCTGCTGTTGGTCAGTGTAAATTTAGCCCCTTACATTGGTGGCCAGTGTAGCAATGTATTGGTTGTTGGTGTAAAATCACCCATTACATTGGATGTCAGTGTAAATTCTTCATTACATTGGTGGTCAGTGCAAATTCCCCATTACATTGGAGGCCAGTGTAAATTTCTCTTTACATTGGTGGTAAGTGCAGAATTGCCCTTACACTGGTGATCAATGTAAATCCCCAAATCCCCCTTACATTGGCCATCAGTTTTAATCCCCCCTAACATTGGTGGTCAATGTAGAAATGTAACCTACCATCCAGCACTGCCTCTGATCCCATCCACCCCAAGCACTGCTATTGATGCCATCCCCTCAAGCACTGCCACTGATCCCATTCCCCCAACATTGCCACTGATCCATCCTTCCCGCTATTGCCACTGATCCCATCAACCCTTCCTCCTAGCACTTCCACTGATCACACCCTCCCACCCAGCACTGCCATTACTCCCAGGAGTCCTAGGATTTTCCTGCCTATTGGTGGGTCCTTCTCAGTCCATGGTGTGCAGGCAGTGGGGAGATGATGGGCTGTAACCTTCAGCAACCAAGCAGTGAGACATAATTAAGTGCCGTAACCTCTAGCAACCAATCAGTGAGTGGTTAGGATATGCAGTAACCTCTGGCAACCAATGGGTGAGCATTAATGATGTGCAGTAACCTCTAACAACCAATTAGTGAGCGTTAATATTGTGTAGTAACCTCTCGCAACCAACCAGTGACCAGTAATAATGTGCAGTAACTTCTAGCAAGCAATCAGTGAGTGGTAAAGGATGTGCAGAAACCTTTAGCAACCAATCAGCAAGCAGAAATCATGTGCTGTAACCGCTAGCAACTAATCAGTGAGCCGCAATGTGTGCTGTAACCTCTATCAACTAGTCAGTGAGCAGTAATGATATGCTGTAACCTCCCACAATCAATTGCAATTGCTGCTTGATCTGCTGCAGTAAACTGATTTTGAGTTTAGCTGCTATGTATTGTATGTCTCAAATAGGTGAAGAGTGAAATTTAATGGGGGAGGGAATGTTTGCCCAGGGTCCAATCAATATTAAAGACTGCCCGGCATTAGCCACAGTAATAAATCAACTATGCTTAATAATAGATGGCAAAACATACTAAACTCAATAGCATTTACATAGTTTTAGCTTTAATACTTTGAAACATTGGGCTTTATGTATTAAAAGCAATTGATAGATTGTTCACGTTAAAAGGGAAGTTGTACTTTGCAAGGGAATTTTCCCTAGAGTTTAGTGAATGAAGTTAAATTCTGCTGAATTCCACAATCCAATCAAGTACAAGCAAATTGCCATTATTTTTATTTTCCTTGCACATGATTGGGTATTGGGTATTCTTTGCAAAGTGAAATTGCACCACATTCACTAAGCTCTGGGGAAATTTCCCTTGTAAAGTGAACAGCCTATTTGCTTTTAGTAAATCAACCAATGTCATACAAGTGGTGTTTTTTCAGTAAGTGAAGTAAGACATCACAAAAAGAAGTTTTAAGATCTCTGTAAAAGCCTACAGTTCCCTTTTAGTTTAGATACATATAATATATAAACTGTGCAGAAGATGCCCATACATCCTAAATGGGTGACTTTCCTAGTATTAATGGTCATGTGATTGCTAAAACTATTGGCATGCTTTTGTGGTACTTTAATGGGAATGTCACATTTTCCTTGCATTCCTAGGTGATTAAGTTTTCTTGTTCAAACATTTTATTAGTTTTGAAACAAAGGGGTGAAGACATTGACATTTGACAATAGACATTATGTTGGCTGTAAAGCATAGGAGAAAATATATACAGTACATATGTCTATAAAGGAAGGGGGAGAGAAAGCGTCAAACTAACAATGCAACAAAACGTATGTCTCATGGTATACAGAAAATATTTTAGCATAAGGTAACAATATGTCAAAGAGAGACTTGTTCAATGAGAAAAGAGACTCCCCCGCGCTATGTGGGAAGTTAGGGAGGAACCTGGGGAGGCCAGGAAGGTGATTAAGTTTTCAAACATATTTTCAATATAATAGAAAAATTCACAATGCACACTTCGTTTAGGATAACATTTTTTTTTCTTCAAGTAATGCAAGTTTACAAAAATGGCTTACAAATAATAAAAGGAGAGAACGATATTTCAGTTGCAGCCATCAAAGGCTTGTTTACAGATGCGTGGGCTACTTGTAATCTTTGCACTGTATTGACAAAAATAATAGAATTTCCTGGATGTTTTGGTTCTTTTCCAGTCTATTCATTTGAATAAGCTGCCTTAACACAGCTCATGTTAACACAAAAAATAAACCGCACCTTAACACTCCAGGACACCAAGGTCTGAATGGGCCATGCAGGTTGAAGATTTTAGGTGCTTTTTATGTACGATGAATTGAACTATTGCAGGATGAATTAAAATGATACCACAGATGTCATAATTCCTTGCTTTCTTGAAAAATGTTAGTGTTCACTGCTGTCTGGTGCCTGTCCCAAGTCCTAGTAGAATAAAAAGCCAAATAGTTCTTCAAGCTAGCATTGCAGAAAGTAGTTACTATAGAATTCCAAGCAGGAATCCTTGCCGCAGGGCTAAGTACATTATTAAGGACAGAAATATTGACTTATATTTTTTGTTTTAAGGAGAAAAAAATCTTTAAAAGCAGTATGTTAAGTCATATAAAGATAATTCTGCACTAAAATATAAACATAGTTAGCTATGTGAAGCTGTTTTTTATATTATTATAAAAATATTAACAGAGCATTTTATCATAATTATCATTTTAATTGTTAAAATTGGAGGCTGTATTATTTTATTTTATAGACTAAGAACAAGTACAAAACAAATCCTCTTGATCATGGCAGATATGCAGGGCCCTTGCTATTTTATGTGAGTTGATCCAAGGACTCAATGTTATCTTCCTACTGTAATCGACTAATCCCCCCACCCTCATGTAATAGAGATTAACAAAGACAGACATGCTTGAAGTCAAGCTTGGGTGGCAATGATGGCTCTCTTCATAGACACAGCTGAGTGAGTGATCGTAGCCACTGAGGGATAAGGAGTGTGTTATTGGTAAGGTGCAATATACTACATTTTTGTTTTTGGGTTTAAATACACTATACCTTTGCATAGTTTTTTTTCTTTTTAAAATCATAGTAGAAGCTAGCTGAGGGGGTCTAGGTTTCTAGGACTACCAATAGTTAAAACTAAAGTTTTTTTGTATCAGCTAAATGTTTAACCTTCTTCCGCCAGTACGTAACCCTAAAATATGACTCCTAACACGCTACCCCCAAAAAATTATTGTAGCATCTACAGCAGCCTTTCTTAACCAGGGTTCCTAATTTCTCTCAAGAGAAATCTAGGGGTTCATTGAGCAATGAACAATCCCTGCTTTTCAGATAAGTAACTACTGACAGTAATCAGAAATAATCTTTACAGCTGTCTGTATGAGGGTAGTCTTCCCACTAACCCCCAATGTAAGGAGCACTCTTCCCACTGACCTCCAATGTAAGGAGCATTCTTTCCTTCCCACTAACCCCCAATAACCCCTTCCCAAACCCCCAATGTAAGGAGTATTCTTCCCACTAACCTCCAATGTAAGGAGCATTCTTTCTACTTCCCACTAATCTCCAATGTAAGGATAATTCTTCCCACTAACCCCCAATGTAAGGAGCATTCTTCCCACTAACCTCCAATGTAAGGAGCATTCTTCCCACTAGCCTCCAATGTAAGGAGCATTCTTCCCACTAGCCTCCAATGTAAGGAGCATTCTTCCCACTGACCCCCAATGTAATGAGCTTTCTTGCCACTGATCCCCAATACAAGGATCATTCTTCCCACTGACCAGTAATGTAAAGAACATTCTTCCCACTGAACATAGCAACATTCATTCTACTGACCACCAGTATAATGGGACCTTCTTCTCTTTGACCATCAGCGTAAGGAAACACTGCAATTTTCACTGTTTGTATTTTTTTTTTTTGGCTTTACTACTGTTTACTTAATTTTATTATCATTACTGAAAAAATGATTGTATAGAGGGGGTTTCAAATATGCAAAAACACGCCACATTGCTTACTCTTTTTATTATTTTTATTTCAACCTACTGCTTATGCTAAAGTACCATGAGCTGTTAATATAGGAATCATTAGCAGGGATTTCCTTAGACTTGAAAATTATTTCCAAGGATTCCTTCATGTTAAAAAGTCTGAGAAAGACTGCTGGAGGGCAATGGTTCTCAACCACCAGGCCACTACCCAACTTTGGGCCACAGCTTCCTTTCTGCCAGGCTGTCAAATTCACCATGTGCTGCCCCCACCAGCCATATTATTTTTGGACATTGCTGCCCTTTCTGTAATTATCTAGCCTGGACCTACAGATCTGTGGGTGGCTGTGGATAATAGCCATGTCATTTAGCTCCATCTCAGCACCACCCCAGAGCCCCTGGTACCTCGGGTGTCAGGAGTCTTGCCCTAAGTCTCTAGCACTGCAAGCAAGCTCTAAGTATTATGAGAGTAATAGAAGGCTGCTATCTGCAAACCATGCAGGGCTGAGCAGTGTTAAAGAATGTTGCAGGGTCAATAGTTTTGAAGAGGGTAGGATAGAAGGAGCAGTGCTATGTGCAAATATTTTGCAGGGGTGGGATGCAGAGATGAGCAGTGCTAGAAGAATGTTGCAGGGTCAATAGTTTTGGAAGAGGGTGGGATGAAGAGATGAGCAGTGCTAGTGAAGAATGTTGCTAATAGTTTTGGAAGAATGAGATTGCAGGGTCAATAGTTTTGGAAGAGGGTGGGATGAAGAGATGAGCAGTGTTAGAAGAATGTTGTGGGATGAATAGTTTTGGAAGAGGGTGGGATGCAGAAGTGAGCAGTGTTGAAAAATGGCAGCAGGAGATAAAGAGGTGAGTGGTGATGGAGGAGCGTTGCAGAAAATGCACAGGGGAGCAGCAGTAAAAGAGAATGGCAAGGAATTCAGAGGTAAGCAGTGTTAGAATATGGTAGCAGGCAGGGGCAGACTGACAACTCATGGGGCCCCCGGGCAATAGGGGATCATGGGGCCCGTGTGTCCTTGCCCAAACTCAAAAAATCCTATGAAAAAGGTACCAGGGGCATCTCATGGGGCCCCCTACTGACCCTGGGCCCTCGGCAGTGCCGAGTTTCCAAATAGTCAGTCCGCACTTGGTAGCAGGGGATGCAGAAGTGAACTATGTTGGAAGAAGGTAGCAGAGAATGCAGAGTCGAGAAGCGTTGGAAGAGGATGGCAAAGGGTGCAGAAGTGAGCATTGTTTGAAGAGGGCTGCAGAGGTGAGCAGTATGTGAACTGTGCTGCAACAGTGCTGCAGAAATGAGCTTGATATTTGAAGCAAAATCACATTGTTCTATGTGAGACCATAAGTGTCCTAATATGAACACTGCCTAGGAAAACTATATTGGTTTTGGCTCAGCTTTATTTAAATTCTGTTCAGGTTTTTCCATTTTACTATTTGTACAGAACTTTTGTTTTACAAAAGGAAACATTTAGTGCAGGTTGCATCCATATAACTGGTATCACACAGCACAATGGATTTTCTAAAGCAAAGAAAGGGCACATTAGAATCTGACTATACCTCCTATGGACTACTCCTGCCTTCAGGATTGACTGAGGGCATTATCCCCTACTCCTTTGATGATTAGTCCACCATTCACTGAGTTCTAGGAAACATACACCTATAGTGTAAGAAGGAGGCTCAACCAATCAATGTATAGTATAAAGTGCACTGCTCATTACTGAGCCAGGCTGTGTGCATCTAAAAAGAAACACACAGCATGGTTTGACTCTGCCCAATGCTTCCTGCTCACTGGATTTGATCAATAGCAGCATTAGCAAACGGCTTCCATGTCTATCAATTTACCCTATGAGACCAGGGAAAAAGAGCAGGGCTGCTGCAGACAGGCACGGCACTGGAGCAATAAAAGACTCGGGTAAGTATTTGGGGTGGAGGCAAATAAACTTTTGACTTTTGAACCACTTTAATTCATCAGTGAATGCAAACAGTCCAGATTCAGAATGTCCATAAGCATTATTTCAACCAATTCCAATAGTAGGTTTAATTAATAAATGCATGCAGAGCAGGGTCCAAGCTGTTAAAATGACAGCTCATTCCGGCAGATATCACAGGGAAAACACAGCTCTTCCACTGTAATCATCAGACCTCTGTGATAGCCAGATGTTGAGCTTTGATTGGACACTGTGCTCTGTTTACAGAGGAGGCTTCATTAGTTCAGACCTGAATTAGGCCTCATGCACACTGGACAGCTTTAAATGGTTACTAAACCCACAACAGTAAAATCAGTCTGTATATGCAGTAAAGCATGGTTGTTTTACTCACTGCGGAACCTAACGGGTTAATCCTCTGCATTGTGTAAAAAGGCAGTTTGATCCTTTCTTTGCTGCCCCTCCTCTTGTTCAAATGCTCACGTCTTATCTCCTGATAAGACAGACTGAACCCGTAATCACATGCACATGCTCAGTTTAGTGTGTATTGCTAGAGAGGTTTTTTTTTGCTCAGCTGAAGTCACAAGACTACTCTAACTGCTGATGATAAAAGGTATTTAGCAGTTTATATTTACTAAAATAATTGCACTTCCATGTTGTGTGTACTGTGAGATACCAGATATAGTGAATTCAGGGTCCTGGGTTTAGTAACACTTTAATGCTGCTGTTAGGGGTGTCAAGCATTTTTGTTTCTACTTTTCAGTGCCCCTGAATGTTATCTTATGTGTCCATGCACACATAGGCATTTAGAGGCAAAAAAAAAAAAAACACTGACAGCGTGTCCAGGAGCAGCAGCATTTTGGCAGAAAAATGCTCGACATGCTTAATCACACCTATATGCTTTACATGTGTTTACAAGCGTCAAGTGTTTGTTTCTGCCAAAATGCTGCTGCCAGAAGGAAAGACATCTAGGAAAGATGGCCAACCATCCAGCGTGCATGAGGCCTTAGAGGGGATCTTCAGTCAGTGACGTATACAGTGCAATTTATATATTGTACCTACCTCCCTGAGGGAAGATTTCCAGCACCAAATTCCTTTGCAGTTGTAAAATGTTATGTAGCGGAATGCCAAGAGCTGCAAGAGAAACTGATGAACTGTTGAACAATGTGAATGTTTATCACAATACACCATGTCCTTTAGGAACAGCAACATTTCACCATGCCCTCCAATCACTTTTGCACCATGGTGCAGTTTGCATGGTTTATTTTTGAAACCACAGTAATATGCCCTTACCATGAAAGGGCTAGTTAGTAGTGATTGCTGTTAGGGCAAAGGTTTCCAATCCACCCTTGTACTGGCATGAGCAACAAAGAACCTGCACTGTATGTGAAAATCCCAGTAGGTCAGCAGTTTTTGAAATACTCAGACCAGCTGTCTGGCACCAACAACCATGCCACGTTCCAAGTCACTTAAATCCCCATTCTTCCCCATTCTGATGCTCGGTTTGAACTTCAGCAAGTTGTGTTCACCACATCTAGATGCCTAAATGCATTGAGTTGCTGCCATGTGATTGGCTGATTAGTAATTTGTGTTACTAAGCAATTGAACAGGTGTACCTAGTAAAGTGAACGTCTATAAGGGACTGTGTGTTAATGCTAATGACAGACTGCAACATATATGCACATTGTTTTCATGCTTACAAGTAAAATCCTTTGTAGATTGTCTCATAAATAACTATTTCATATAGAAAAGGTGCAGAAACTGTATAATGCTTAGTTTGCCACTGTAGGATGTTTACAGAACTCAGATCACCCACCAATTTCAAATGTAGTACACCTAAATACTGAAAATGTTAATTATTCTCCGTGTTCTAGGTGCTGTAACAGATAGCTGGCGGGAAAAAAAGACAACTGCACAGTAAGTCACCCAAAAATACTATTTGGTTTTCATAGTAGTTGCCGTTTTGCTTCAGTTTAGGAAGAAAATTAAAAGCATATCCACTGTCCTTTTTAAGTTCCATCATTTTTAATGAATCTACTGTTTGGTAGTTAGTTTGCTTTAAATGTTCAGAGAGAATATACTAAATAATTATAGCTTTAGAGTGAACTTTATTTTATTACTCCCTCGTAGACTCATAAAATATTAAAACTGTACTGATGATCCTGATAAAGTGTGTGATTGGCTTGTTTCCTTGCATTCTTTAGACATGACTAATACCTTGCTACAAATAAGCTAAGATTTACTGTATATCCCTAGCTCAAGTGACTTTTTAAAAAAAACAATCTCCAACTAATTGCCACAACTGTATCTTAAATGGGTCTCATGGATTAGTTAGGAATCTTCTCAATGTCTGACTTAGCCAAAGGACATCAGGAAAATAATTATGCATACCATTCTAAGCAAAGCTCTTCATTCCTCTCTCTCTGTATGACCCTATACCTTTATTACCACTGCATTGTACAACCTCAGGGAATTGCTAGATATAAATGCTGAGTGTTCATAGAGCAACAAAAGCTCAGTGTGGAGTTATAACAAGCAGTTTAAGTGGTTGTGAAGGCTGAAGGGTTTTTACCTTCATGCATTATGCATGAAGGTAAAACACTTTCTGTGTGCAGCATCCCCCCCAGCCCCCCCCCCCCCCCTAATACTCACCTAAGCCCTCTCTCGATCCAGTGGTGTGCACATGGAGTCTCGGCTATCCCAGGACTCCCTCTCCTCATTAGCTGAGACAGCAGCGGAATTCCATTGGCTCCCGCTGCTCTCAATCACAACCAGTGAGCGAATGAGAAAAGTGAGGGGCGACGCCAAGTCGTGACTCCTGGTGTGAATGGACACACGGAGCAGTGGCTGGGGAGTACACATGCTCGCGTGCCCCCATAGCAAGCTGCTTGATGTGGGG